CTCCGGGCCGCCGTGTCCCCCGTCGCCTCCCTCTTCCCCTTCAAGGCGCTGGACGAGGACCCGCCGCCCGGCCCGGGGCCCCTGGCTGCCGACGTGGTGGCCCCCGCCCCACCTGGCAAGCGGAAGGCGGGAGCCGCGACCCCCAAGAAGGGGAGGCCAGGAGGGAAGGCCAGGCAGCCCGCGGGCGGCACCGCCCCCCCAGGGCCCCGGCAGGACCTGGGAGCCGCCCCCCATTAAAGCGATTTCATGTCTCTCTCAGCTCTGTGCCCCCTCGGTGTCCCAGGGCCTGGGGGCTGGACGTGGTTGCCTGTCCCCTCGCCCAGTTGTCTGGTGTCTGGGCCTCACGGTGAGGCCTCTGGAGCCCCAGGGCGTCCTAAATCTCTCAGAAAATCACACTCGGCCGGCAGGGATGGGGGTGCTTCCTGGGAAGGGGATCTGCCACCCAGACTCATACTTCCTAAGGATTCCACCCCCAAGGCTGCCCAGAGAGGGCAGGTACTTGCTGGAGACACACAGCAAGCAGGGCAGACCCTCAGATTCCTGCCCAGCTGCCTCTCCTGCCCCTCAAGAAGCTCCAGCCACTGGGAGGAGGGTGAAGGGACCCTCTGCCTCTGTAAGGCCTTTGGGGGGACCGTGCCAAGTCGTAGCCCAGCGGCCCAGGCAGGGAGTGGAGACGCCATGGTGGACCAGAAGCCCACGCCTGTTCTTACAGACACGTGGGCTCACCTGATGGTCTGAAGGTGGAGGTGGATATGGTGGGGGTTGGGAGCTGGGGCAGGGATGGGGGAGATGGGCCCATGTGGGCGGGAGCAGTGTTCGGAGGGTGGGGTGCACACAGCACATGGGGAGACAGACTGGCAGACGATGGCCCCAAAGCCCAGGTGAGGGCCAGGCCAGCCAAACCTTGAGCAGCAGAGACAGCCTGACCGCCAATTCTGAAGCAGGGATGGGTGAGACCAGGAAAAGCAGGTGCTGGTTCCCTCCCCCACTCAGGTGCCCACTGGCCTTCCTGGGTTCCAACAGGGGCCAGCCGTACCCTCCCTCTGAAGCATGCACGACCCTAGGTAACATGGAAGCTAACGGGGGGCACAGCCAACGCCTCATGTCTGCAAAACTTTAAAATGAGCTGGGTGTGGTGGTGGCACTTGTCGTCTCAGCTACTCGGGAGGCTGAGGCGGGAGGATCGCCTGAGCCCAGGAGGTGGGGGCTGCGGTAGACTGATCACGCCACTGCAGTCCAGCCTGGGCCACAGTGTGAGACTCAAAAAAAAGAAAAGAGAAACAGGAAGCCAAGTTCATCAGCACCTCCTCTGAGGACACTCTGTGTGGGACCCTTCACCTGTTCCCCCCTCTTTCCTCGGCCCTGGGCTGATCTCCTGGACCTTTGGGTTTTGGGGCCCCGAGAGCTCTGCTGGGGGAGCCCCAGGAAACTCCCCTGGAGTCCAGGAGGCCGATGGCTTTGGAGATGAAGCTGAGACCAGGAGCCTCCCCAGGCCGGTCTCCCAGCCACTCGCTGCCCATGGCTCCTCTCCCGAAGCCCTTATTCAGAAGCTCATGGAGGGGGAGCCAGTGTCTCGGGTCCACACAGCTGCCGACGCCAGGCAGGGTCCCTCTGTCCCAGGGCTGTGCTGTGTGCTCTTCTGGCTTCTACAGTTCTCCCCACTTGTCCCCATTTCACGGGGTGGGATGTGGCCTGCAGGGCTCCAAGCCTGCTTTTCTGCCTCCCCTCTGAGCTCTCCTCCCCTCGGCTTCCGTAGGGGGATCTCTGAAAGTAAAACCAACGGTTGGCACTTTGAGAGGCTGAGGAGGGAGGATCACTTAAGGCCAGGGGGTTGAGACCAGCCTGGGCAACATAGCAAGACCCCAATCTCTACAAAATATTAGCTGGGCGTAGAGTTGCCTGTAGTCCCAACTACTTGGGAGGCTGACAAAGGAGGATTGCTTGAGCCCAGGAGGTCGAGGCTGCAGTGAGCTACGATCGTGCCACGGCACTCCATCCTGGGTGACAGGGCAAAACCATGTCTCTTTAAAAAAAAAAAAAGCTGGGCTCGGTGGCTCAGCCTGTCATCCCGCGCCTTTGGGAGGCTGAGGTGGGTGGATTGCCTGAGTCCGCGGGTTCGAGACCCGGA